CCAACAAACTACCAACTCATTTTGGTGATGCATAAGTTATTTAATTGACCAATCAGAACCATATTTTATCCTATGAAATTTTAAATTTAAATCACGCAATAATCTTTATTTCAAGCCATGATTTAGAACTGTTACTAGCCTAAGAGACAAGTTCCTTTCTTCTCCTAAAATTTACTCAGAACAGATCATTCTTGGTGAAGTATCACATGTTTTTAACTTTGAGTACTTTATATTAAAGTGCAATATTTGATTATTTTAATTACTCCTCCACAACGTTTACTAGACACAGAGACAAAGTAAGACTTTGCTCTTCTCAAGAGATAGAATTCTCGTCGTTTGACAATCGAAAGTGACCACATCTGTGAGAAGTAAGATGTCCTTGAAGCTACTGATAAGAGTGCCATTGTCTGTGATAATAGTGAACTCTCACAAACGTCCTTGACCTCAGCCACTGATAACATCTGGAATCTCTAGACGGTGTTTAGCGAATTGTTTATAACATTGGGAACTTTGACCTATGCAACTAACCTTTTAGTTGATGTTATTGCCTATTGTTAATTGTTGCAGAATATCATGCGTTTATTTTAATACCCTTTATGGTTTCTGTGACGTCATTACAGTTACAGCTGTATTCATTATATCATAGACAATTTTAAATTCATCACTCCATTTGAAATATTATACCTCCATACAACTCCATTATAAGATGAGTTTAAACCAAATGTGTTTTTGGCCACTGGTGACATCAAAACGAAATTTATATCAATCCCGGGTCTAGGTCTAACCAACTTATTCCCTATAGAAAATTCGAAAAAAATTGTAAGTTGCACAACCCATCCTTTGTTATAATCCCACAAACTCAAGGTCATCCATTGACCTTCATTAATCTGCAATACCACAAATGCAACGAACCGCAATGTTAATTAATACTATCCTTGGCTTGGATGTGGATGTGGCTAACTAGTGGATATATCAGAAGATATTGTAGAGAAGTGGTTAGCCAAGCGAGGTCTAATATACAGAGGTCATATACTTATTCGATACACCGACATGTTGGAATATAACATCAAGGTATATAGTGGTTTATATGAGGTCATTTACTGTGGTTAAGCTGATCAGAAGATAGAATATCAATAGAGAAATAAGTATGTACGTTTAAAATACCTGGTCATACGTACACCAGGTACCGAAACGCCTTAGCAAACTGAGTACTCTACAGAACAATTTTAAAAGCTACATAACAGAATATCAATATTAATATCGATTGAAATTTAAATCGCTATTTAAATCAAGCTAATATTTTTCATCTCATAATATACCATAGGTTCTCTGCATAAACCCCACAAAACAATCTTTATCTTCCATCAAATTCTCCTAATTTTCTATTGTAAAACACAACTATGAGAACGGAAAACGTCCAGCACTTAACATAAGAGACATAGCTTCGTGTGAGGTAATTCAGTGCATTGCATTCAATTCCTTTCACCTTGCACAATAATTGTATCGGTAACATCCTACACGTTATTTATCTTGTTTTAGTTTACGTGAGCATGAGAAAATTCATTACGTTTCGATTGTAGATATTTCAAAATATCTTAAGCTTATTAAGAGATTGTAGACTTAAGTAACATATTCCATAACAGTCTGCTATAGTCTGTGTGATGAAACCTGTCTCCTGATCGGGTCTACCTGGGGACCGGACAATAGTTTACGGTCCGGGACAGCCCTAGGTAGACGGAGGGTTGGAAGACAGGCTCCATCATACAGACTGTAGTACGGAGGTCCACATACATCTAATATGAACAAGAAAGTTGTTATCCACCAACCCAACCCAAGAAAAATAAAATTTTGCGAAGGGTTTTAAGGGATTCGTAATTTTTTTGTTTAAGTCGGAAAATAGAGGTAATTACATCTATAAATTAGAAAAATATTAAAATATTGGTTTTAATCCCCACGACATTTCGGGATTTGGAACCTGATCCCGTCATCATGTGATGGAACGTAAATGCAAACTCACAAAAAGAAAAATCTAAGCAACTATTTGTTATTGTATGTTTTTAAAATAACAACACAATTCTAGCATACAACACCTTATAATCAATTCCCTAGGTGTTCCAAAACTTCCCCTCTTTCCGAGTACAATCCCAATGACCCATACCCTCGGGGTTTGCAATTCCTCAGTCTGCCATGTGGTGGAGAAGTTTTTCACTTGCCCAGTTTTTGTGATTCCGCAAACAAGTTAAAAGATTACGTTGAATTCGATCGTTTTCACCCGATTGGCAAACATCCACCAATAACGTTGCTACAAAAATGTTGTTCCGATGTTTTATTTGGGTTAATCTATATTGTTTTCTTACTCCAAATTAAAATAGTTAATAAGTGTAAATGTTCTCAATCAACTTGAAAATTTGTCAAGATGTTTACAATTTGTTAACCTTTAGTAAGTGTTACTATTATTCAAAACTTGCACTCAGCAAATACGGACGTGTAGTACACCTAAATTTTAGTGTTACTGTACTACTTAAGTCGTCAAATTTTAAGTCAGTCCACGATTTTGTTAAAGAAATTCACTTTCTATCCTATTTTAACAGTATTTTTGAGCACTTAACAATAAAATTATGATCTTAAAATGGCATTTAAATAAATTTCAATATACTTAAATCAAATTTCGTTAGTACCAGTCCACCCTAACCACTCTTAAGCATCGAAACAGTGTGCAAAACCAATTTTATCGCAAAATACTCTTTTAACGTACGTTAAGTGCAAATTTTATGTACGATTTGTTTGAAACAAAAACGTTTAGACAACCCCTTTGCAGATAATAGAAATACTGGCTGACATATGAAAGAGAAAGTTAGTTTGAGCATAGCCAGAACGAAAAATAGATCAAAACCAAACTATTATTAACCGATTCAAAGTCCACACTGCATTTTTGAGTGTGAAAAACTACTACTAAACAACAAGCTAGTCAGTGGCTTCAGGTTGCTAGAAAATGCTAATTATCTAGATCAAATGAATCACGACCTTCGTGACTACTTCTTTGTCCGCATTCTTTTTCTAATCTCCGCCTTCGAATTCGCCGGGAGCAGAGTCAACGTACTTTATGCTTGTGCGTTACTTTTCGCAGGTTGTAATTATTTGGCTTATGCAAACCCATAAATCGGTTTCTTTCACGGTTTTTGCAGCGGGTTCGATTTGAGTACTCTCGTTAGTGCCGTAACATAATCTCTGAAGGAGTTGAAATTGTCGTTTTTAGATTTTCTTTAAATATACAATACTAAAAAAACTAGCAGGAGATTTTTTCAATAATTAAATGCACAGGTGATGTCTTCACCTCCAGCTGATTATTTTTACCTCTGAGAATAAAAGAAATACTTGAGTCTTGCGACATATGTATTGAAAACAGCTGTTTTTTTTTAGGGTTAAACAAATATTTTAACGTCAAGTGAAAAATAAAGCTCCGCGATAGTGATTCTCCTCACACTCAGTTCTGTTCCAAACCTAGTATGCAAATAAGTTCTCCATCATTCGTTTATTGGGTGCTGGACTTGTGCAAATATCTTGTCCAGCTAAGTTATGGACCCTGAGGAATTTTAATTCGGATGAATGGCGGACGTAAACTTTCAAATCTTCCAACGAGCTTCTGTTGCCCAACTTAGTTCTGAAAAAGAAATTTCCTTCAATATGTTATGTGTGGATTACTATATTTAAATAAATTTCCTAGTGTAAAATTAGCTAATAGATACAGTGTATAGATTTCTAGAAGATATATCTTTAATTATTCATTTAACTCATTAAAAAGTTTGTAGCCTATTAAATTTGTTTTGTTAGATTAGTCTATTTATTCATATTCTGTATAGATTTGTTCCCGTATTCTTTTTGTATTCAAACCGTTGCAAAAGCCTATTTCAACAAATTTTCTTATGGGGGAGTAGCTTTTTTAATGTTACAACTGCTTCAGTTTCGTCAAACTTACAACTATCGCAAAAAGTAACATTTTTTAAATGGTAAAAATATGTTTAAATTATCCTTATTACAATAGTAAAACTAATGACAGTGTATTCCATATCATATTCAAACAAAAATGTCTTCAAACGGTTTACAGTATTATAATTTGAAGACTGCTCTACCCAAAAGTATCATCACAAAATATATCCAAATGTTAACCTATGAAAACAATTGTTAGGGGGCTTAACAAAAAATGTAACCCCCTAATTTTAAGAAATTCTAAGCTCTTACACCAATTGGTACTAAACCGAATGTTCCCTCTGGATTTATAACAAGAAAATATAAAAATAATACATCTCAAAATATTTTTGCTATGAATTTTTCTGAAGTTAATCACACGTTCCAATTCATAACTCAATTAATTGTTACCTTAAATTTTACAACAGAGACGTTATGTATCATAAAGACAAACAAATGATGTCATTGGCCAAAAATTAAATATTTTTATTCTATAATAGTTTAAATGAGTACAAGCCATATTTTAATGTAATTAGTATAAGGTTTGGGCCAGTGTCGTCTTTTGTTTATGTGTATATGGGTCATACTGGTTTCCGTTCAAGTATGCATGACTAATGTATAAACTATATAAAAATATATATTATATTTTTTAAATCCCACTATTTTGTGTTCATGAGGACCCAAAACTGATATTACCACCAAAACCCACTCGAAATTTTAACTAAAAAATATCTGATCAATATACTATGTTTAGAGGAAGAAAGTGAAGAAAATTACATGCCACTATTGCAAACACAAACAATAAAGATGAGACAAAAAGGTCCATCTCACAAATCGCTCTCCAAACACCATTACGGAACTCTTGACCAAATTCAACTGTCGCAGTAAATCTGCCAGGATGACCGGTGGAGAAATCGTCTCATAGATTGCCAATTTTTCTCAAAGAATTAATTATGTGATAAGACAAAGTCCTCCCCCCACCCCCGTGACGCAACGCCACTGCCTTCACACACTGCGCCTTTCCTGTCTTGTACTATATAAAGTGGTGGCCCCTTGCAGGATCAAGTCATTCACCACACCATGGTCTCAAAGGTACAGATTTTGTGATGTGTTTGTGTTCTGTGCTCACAGTGAGTTTAGGTTAAGATTGTGACTTTAAAATTGTTTATTTATATTTTTATTGTACGGGGATCGGTGTTAATGCAATTTATAGATTTATTATAGTAGATAAACATACAAATCTTAGTTTAGGACATCCTTGTGTTTTCGAAGTTATAATTTTATTTCTTTTACGTAAACAATTGAGTTGTCAGTTTTTTTTTTTCATTCAGTCGATGATTTTGTAAAAACACAGGGCTTACATATTTTTACCAGAATTTTTCTCCATGCTTAAAATAAATGTTAAAAATCTAATAGGATTGATCGCATATAAAATTTAATTGTTAAATAATCATCTAGCTTTATAAAGTTAATAATTTCCTGTGCCGTTTGAAAAGGTGATTAACATATTTTAGATAATTAATTCTTATACAGTCTGCTGTATAACAAGTGGTTTTACTTTATTCTAAAGTTACAAGTTAATAGTATTGATAATTACATATACATTAATTGTGTGTCTAATAATGTCCATTATTACAAACTGTTGTATCTAAAACCACGAAAATTAAAAAAAAATAACATTATTAGTTCAAAAATAATAAAACATCTAAACAGGAGAAGTAAAATAATGACTGGAGCTTGCTAACAGTGACTGATATTTTTAAATAGGTACCCAATGAAATTCTATACAGTTCGCCTTATAAAACTTTGTGTAGGGGTTTTTTAATCAACCGTGTGTCAATAAAACTAATAAAATGTAAACTTAATTTATTACACCGGTTAGTGTTTCAATGTTGGTAGTGCCATCACTTATTTCGACAGAATTAATAAAAAGTGTTTAAATATTACGGACAAAGAGTTTAACAAGAAATGCAGATACCATGTTTCATAAATTACGTTTAAAAAAATATTACATGTAAACTTTAACTATAAGTTATAAAAGCATTGTTTGGATTTGATTCGACAAATCATTTGTTATCTAAACTAAAAAAAAAACAAACAATACAGTAATGAGACTATTTTGTCTTGATATACAATTATTATCAACTATGCAGTCACTTGTGCTAAGAAATACGCGCTGTGTTTTTTTTTTTTTTATAATATGTATTCCAAAAGGTGTTTTGAATGTCTCTAGTGATGCAAAACCTTTGATGTTTAATTTAACCTCATTTAATAGGATAAACTTTTTAAACTTTTTGTAATAATTTAATGAATATATTAACTGTTTTAAACAAAATAACACCTTAATATTACACCACTAATAAACCAAATTAAACAAAGTATGAAACAAATAATAAATAAATATATTTGCAATTTAAAAACATACTATGGATACATACCACTTAAGTATTGTTAAGCCTTAAATATCTAAGTAAATGTTAGTTTAAACACATTTCTGTCTACTTAAAATCAATTATCAATGGACAAGCAAGGAATTCCCTAAAAACTGTACAATATTTACAATCATCAACCAAGCCCCTGTTAAATATACACTCAATCTCCTGCTGTTTCCATTACTCTAATCTGGTTAAAAAATTTGGTAATTCCATTAGAGGATTATTGATTACCATTACCACCATATTACCATTACCATACTCACCACGTCACTGCTGCCAACTTTCCCCCACAAGATGACCACTCGGTTCCGAGTGCTTAGGTTATTACTTCCGATGTTAGGAAATATGAGCCGCGCATCCTAACTTATTGTCATAACCACCCACTTGTACGCCCGTGCTTATTATGTCTTTGTACTTGAGAATGTGAAAGTAAATGCGATAACTCTGCTGTAAAATTTAGGTATGACTTTGAATACATGTTAATACGTTTTAGGTATAACTGTGCATTTAGGTATGACCACGTATTTATCCATAACTGTGTGCTTAGGTATAGCTGCTTATTTAGATTTAACTCCGTATGTATGATCGCGAATTCAGGTGTGACTGCAAAAGTATAACCGTGAATTCAATATTGAAAATAGTAATTTCTGATTTTTAAATAAATATTTTTTAACCCACTACCTGAAAATTCTGATTACTCTGCAATGAAAAACAGATGTCAATGTTACTATTACTTACAGTACAGTAACATGTTTATAGTATAAACCAGGTATCAGTGGTATAAGTTTACTTAGTTCTGCTGAGAGATTAAATGTGTTCCCAAAATTTACACTTATAGCCTTATCTTTCATATTTTTAATAACATATTGAAGCTTTCAATGATGTGTGCGCAATCTCAACTCATCATTTGTCTTATTGTATTTTTGCATATAAGATATAGTGCAGCAGGCAATTAGTAGGTCGCTAGTTCAATCATGCGTAAAGTTATTAGTTTTTCGATTAAACCAGAAGTAATCATATCGCACATAGGAATGTACAGAAACTGTCATTATCTGTATATTAAATTTGCCTTGCAATTTACATAAGTTTGATAAGTCTATTAGGAGAATACATACGTAGTTCCTATTTAGTAACGGTAAATTGTAACGGTTGCTCTTAGACTTGCCCATACGGTCCTTGGAGTTCCTTGCCAGTGTCTACTTTTTTGTAACAAAAGCGTTAATAAGTGCACCTCTTGTTACAAGTATGAAGGCTAAATAGAACAGTAACTCTGCCCTTTTAGGATATGTGTTCCAAGGTTCGGAGTATACTAGATTTACGATCTGTTGCTCTCGGTAACACGACACTACATACATTACGGTCGACTGAGCACGGCCTCAACTCGTTAAACTCGACATGTTCTCATTCATTCACGCTTGGACTGTTTATGTTAAATAATGCAGTTGCATCGAAGGACATTGAATCAGGTTAGCTTGACCTTGTAGTGAAAGTGTTTTAGGATCTTATAAAATTTATTTTATTTCATGTGTGTTCTTGTGTGTTCCATCCTTTAGTAGCTTTTGGATGGTATTGTACCCAGCTAAATGGTACTGGGTGTATAAACAGCTGATCTTAGTCAGTAACAAAGATTCGTAATGCATTTTACCCCCCCCCCCCCAATACAATTCAATTCATATGGCCTTGGATCTCTATATAGTCCTTGTGGTGTAGGAACACTAAAACTCAGGCACATGGCAATCACTATACGGGTACGCCCAATTAAACATAACGTACAAAATACTATTTTATGTACGTCAACTCACTAAAATGAACGTTAGAATTCCTCACAATAATTATTTCCAAATTTTTTGTTGTCCTAGAATGCTAGGCTCAAGACCGGGTAAGTTTTTCACAATAATTTAGGCTAAAACTAATGGTTTGCTGCATTATCACAAAGAAAATTCATTCGTGATTTGGCGGGAATTAAACCCGGGACCTTAGGTAGGAAGTCTTGCGCTCTATTACTAAACCAGCTTGCTCCCCGTATTTTAAAAATCTAAATGCCTATCCTCGATACAGTGTGAAACCCCCAATTTGATCCCATATACCATGCGTTTCAATGGTTTAGAAATACCATTACACCAACACTTAAGATTAATACGAAACACGTAATATACTTGTAATTTAATAGTAGATAGGCAATGTCCTGTAATAACCTTTCTTAAGGAGTTTAAAATACGATAATGTTAAATCGTAGATTTTTATGGCCTACTGGTTTTACACACATAGTTAACATTTCGAAACCATAATTGCACTATTAAGCTTCTTTATTTCCTATGTAATGTTCTATGTCTTTAGCGAATGTAATGTTAGGGATTCCTCTAAAAACACATTCTCAAAGATAACCACGTTTCTATCGATTGCGAACCCCTAGTATCGTATCACATAAATGTTATCATACAAGCTATTCCCTTGTCCAGTACCACAATTATGATTACCACTAGTAACCGTTATTGATACAGTAACACTGATACTAACGGATTATTTATTGTTATGTATTCCTCCAAAAGCACCAAAGATAACCCCATATCTTTATACATCGCAAAGCCCTGAAAAGTAATGTTACACAACATTCTTATCCAGAGCCGTTAGGTCGCTAGTTTTACCATTACCAAAGTTACTGGTATGGATATAGTTATTTTATAACATTTATGCCAATTATTTCTTCCAAAAGCAAATTCTCAAAGATCCCATATCTTTATCGATCGCAAAGTACTCAAAAGTAATACAACACAGCAATCTTATCCCAATAGCCGTTCCTCGAATACTACTATTACTACCATTACCAATGTGACTGGTATGGTTATGCTAATTGTATAACATTTACGCCAATAATTATTCCTTCCGAAAGCAGATTCCCAAAGACCCCATATCCTTCCAACGTAATAGCCTCAGAAGTGTAGCAATCTTATCCATGCCGTTCACTAGTACCATTACTATTACCATTACCAGCAGTGACCGGTATACATATGGTAATATTGACCCAGCATAGGGAATGCAGCTCACTGGACATTAATAATGAATGTATTGCTCAATTTGTACGTAACCTGCTCTCAGGTCTACATGCAACGCAGTATTTCCTGCTTTGTATAGGAAGTCCGACAGGTTTTTAATAGAGGTTAAATATAGACTGATGCAATGGACGCAGTTTTGAAGTAGGTTTGAAAGTGTAGGTTTCTAGGTGGCAGGGAGGTAGTTAAAGAGTAGGAATAGTGCAAACTTCAATGTATTTTTTAATTGATACCTAATCGTGATGTAGTTTTCATTTTCTGTCATTCGCTAGCCATGGAAGATATACTTCCAAAGCCCATTGTTTCTCTTAGAAGATATAATTTCTTCTGAATCATTGTAATCGTGTTAAACAACTGTATTCGTATTTTACTCCCAATTTTACTTGATGTCGTGCCAAACCTTTGTAGTCTATACTTTTTTAAACTTACTTACATTTTACATTTTTTAAACATATTATAGTGCAACATAAACAAATAACTGTGAGTGTCAGATTTTCCAAAAGTGCTTAAAGCAAAGCTGTCGCTATTAATTCTCTTTTTCATTCGAAGTTATCCATTTCCAAAATATATACTTTATGTAATATTAGCTGAAACTTTGGAAGTTTAAGTTGCAAATTTGGGTCCGATTATTGTTAAAATGTACATCCTCTAATTAATTCATAGTTCAATTATAAAAGTTTAAATAAAATTTTATAGTTTTCATACCACTATAGGTTGTCAAAAAAGTGTTTCATTAATTTTAAACTGTGTTTCCAAAAAGTACCACAGAAAATGTGGTTAACAAGATGTGATATATTTTTAACTGCAAATGATGCAATTTCTAATACTATGCAAACAGAAAAACTCAAATTATTTACACGAACTTTTGAAAAACCACGCAATGGGAATAGATAATCGTTTATGTTGTTCACAGTTTGCATAAATTTAAACCGTAAACGGATAACCTTGTTAGGTAAGAGTATTTTGATAAATGCTTAAATTTATTTATTGCTCTTATTGAACAGAAAAAAATAAAACAAAAATTATTTCCAAATGTACTAAAAAATATGTTAACAAAATATGTTAAAGGTTCTGTAATTTAAATGGTTACTTACTATAAAAAATTTAAGTATCCTCATAAAAGTTTACAGCTATAACGCAATACCAGTAATATCCCCAACTACAATCCCATACAACACTGTGGTGTAATGATGGTATTGTTCTGTCAAGGTATTGGATACCTCTTAAGTAAGAGTTTATGGGAAGCGGGACGCCCATTTCCCATCACTACAACAGAGGTTGCAAAGTTAAGAGGAATATTTCACAACAAAAGAATAATCTCATAAACAAACTGTGCATTCAAGATGTATTTGATTTGGAAGTTAACTATTTTGAAATTTGTTATTATATTTTAATACTTATTTTATTTACTATGAACTTCAAATTAATGTTGTGAACTTTTGAAATATCTGATAAAACTTTTCCGAATAATATTCCGTAACACTATACGTATTCTACTGCATTGTATTGACTCAAAACTTTAATTGATTTTTGAAAATACGAGTGATTTTGATTTAAATGACCTCATTATATTTTCATTTATTTGCGTTTGGCTAAGAAATCTTACAAAATATTTTACACCTTTGTACTATAGTTTTATTGTGCCTACACATTTATTATTTGTCCTTAAACATTTTAACAATTGATTTTATAGCTCTTGGACTCCTTTTATAACAAAAAGCCACCCTCTTTTTCTATTTGTATATTTATCCAAATGGTAAAATTTAGCTCATCTAAATTTAGACTACCGTACATATGAAAATAGGAAACCCAACTTTGACGTAAAACCAGTTGATTTAATCAATATATCCTTTATATTTATATTTTGAATTGTATGCCATTTACATATGTAAACACACATTAATCTATTGTTTGTAAAATAAATCGTATTTTAATTATATTGGAAACCTATTCTATAAGAGTGTAATACTAAGATATTTTAATTTCTAAACGTGAAGTATGTATGTAGGTATTGCCCTAATGACGGTTTGAACATAAACAATGGAAATACATTGGAGCTGAGCCAGCAAAGAGTCATTCACCTACATGTAGTATGTACTTGGCATTGACCCCTTGATACGAGTATAATCTTGGCACAATATGAACTCACAGCTTACCGAAACAGACTCAGTTTCTGTTTAGTGTTTGATTTTATTTGAATTTCTGTTTCTACTTCTCTTTAAAGGTTGCTTCCCAAGAATAGGTAGTTTTATTATTGTTCAAAATATTTAATTTCCCAGAATATTAACAAATATTCCTTTTTTCCTTAGTTTTATTATCAATTTTTGTTTTTATTTCTACTTATCTTCCAAGTCATGCCCCTAGCTATATTTCGTCAAATTTTACTTATGATTTTCTCTATAACCATTTATACTATTTTTTATTTTATGTGCTTCTATTTCTTCCCATCTAATAGATATTTATTTTGCCAAAATAATTACTTTCTCTAAACACTATCTCTGTTTCTGTTTTGGCGTTTTTCTATTAGTGTTTCTGTTTCTACTGCTCTTACAAGCTAATCCTTCTTTTAAGTAGCTCATTACTTGTTAAGCATACACACCTCAGTCTGAGAACCACTAAAACTTAACACACGTCACATAATTATAATACTAAATGCCTTATTCACGCAGTTCTAAACGTTTGACCTATCCAAATCTGAAGAGAACAATGTCCTATAACAAAAACGAACAGCCAATGAACACATCACCCATTGAAACTACACGATCGGACCACGGCATTTGACCCAAAAGCTTCTATATTTCCTTTAGTATTTTTCCCCCTAATTATATTTTCTATTGCAGTTCGCTCCCGTGCTGGTTGCACTGCTAGCTCTCGCAGCAGCCGAAGACAGCAAGGCTGCAGCGTCTGATGCCAAGCCTGCCGAAGACAAGAAGCAAGGAAAGCGTGGGCTTTTCGGCCTCGGCTACGGATATGGCGGGTACGGCCTGGACTCGTACGACGGATACGGTCTAGGCAGCTACGGATACGGAAGCTACGGTCTTGGTGGATACGGTGGACTCTCCAGCTACGACGTTGGCCATGTTAAGGCCGTCACTATCACCAAGGAAGTGCCTGTGGCTCATCCAGTGCCTTACCCAGTGGAAGTAGAGAAGCACGTGCCTTACCCCGTCAAGGTATTGATATTAATGCAATCCGCCGTAGTTATATATGAAGGTAGCAACAGAATTTAGTTTGTTACCAAAAACTTATAGTTTGTATGGTTGAACCTGTCTCCTGGCCATCCGTCTACCTGAGATATTTGCCGGGCCTAAACCATTAGCCAGTTCCCAGTTAAACGAGAAGTCGGGAGATAGGTTTCATAATAAACACTATAAGTGTGTAGCACCCAACGTTCCTATGAGACCAATGGTTGTACTTTTACGTAACTACTAGACCCTTGGACGCCAAACAAATTAAACTTTATGCATAGAAGATAACTATAGTGAACATTTACTCTTTTCATCATCATGAATATTTTGACGGTTGAAATAAGTTAACGTTGTTCGTAGTCACTTAGTTGCCTCCTAAAAGTAATGTAAAACACTATATTCAGTTATGAACAAAAAATTTTTCTTTTATTACTTTTTACACTTAAGAATTTTTGACTAATCTTACATACATTTTTGTCACCAGGTTCCCGTCGCAGTCCCCGTCGACCGCCCCTACCCCGTCCACGTACCCAAGCCCTACCCCGTCACAGTAGAGAAGCCCGTGCCATACCCCGTCGAGAAGCCAGTGCCTTACCCCGTGAAGGTTCCAGTCAAGGTACCTGTTGCACACCCAGTGCCATACGCCGTTCCCAAGCCCTACCCCGTTTATGTACACAAGCCCGTCGCTGTTCCCTACCCTCAGCCCATCGTGGTCAAGAAACCCGTCTACATCAGCGACCACAGCTACCACGGAGACTATGACAGCTACGGAAGCTACGGAGGTTACGGAAGCTATGGAGGCTGGGAACACAGCTACCACTAAACTTGAAACTGTTCCAGCCGTTCCTTCCAGGAACTGTTACTTCTCTGGAACTGTTCCAAAGTAACCTGTACCTCGGGCGAACTTTGCCGATGTAACAGTTTACAACGGTACCTCTACCAATGTCTTGTATTTATACCTGTTATTATAGACTTTTGTACCTGTAATATAGTAATAAAGTGATAAGTTACTTTTCCTAATTGGTTTTGATTACTTAACCCTCCTAACTTGACAACATAGCTGAGTAGTTGGGAACACAGTTACCACTTGGCTTGTAACTGTTCCTGGAACTGTTCAAAAGTAACCCGTAGACGAACTTTGTCGTTGTAACTGTTAACAACGGTTGCTGATTGTTACCGACTTAACCAATCTATTCATTCTTGCTATCACAGACTTTTGTACCTGTGATATGGTAATAAACCAGTGATGAGTGACTTTTCCAATGCCGATTTTGATCATTTCATCCTTCACATATAACCTAACCAAACATCTGAAATCGCTTCTTAAAAGAACACCTTGTACTATAGTATTTTTCTGTTTTTTCGGTCTGATAAGGTTTAAACTTTTGGTTGCAATCAAGTTTTCCTTTTGACTGAAATAAAACACCGAACCGAGTGTATACACTCTTTGAATTTTGACACAACTTCAGTATCCAATAGTCAATGGTACGGTGCACACCTGATAATCAAAATATATCTGGGCTGATACTGTAGAGACAAAATTAAGGGTTTTGCTCTCCCCTATACTTAGTATATGGAGCAAGTATTGTTTATGAATCAGTTTTGCAAGGTTGTTTATTATTTTTCTTTATCATACAGGGTCTTCATAGGTACTGTATTTCAGTTTAGCACTTTTTTACAATCACGTGAAACATTAGGATAGTAGATATTGAAAAGCACTCTTAATGATTCTAGACTAGAACCACTTCTGTGGTTTCCGTGGTGTAGCGGTTATCACGTCTGCCTAACACGCAGAAGGTCCCCAGTTCGATCCTGGGCGGAAACATTATTATTTTATATATGTAGAATAATTTTGATATAAACTAGGGCAGTGCTTATATATTTGTTTAGTACTAGATATTGTCGTCCGGTGGTCGAACATTTTTGCTTGCCTATTAAAATATACATTGTGTAAATTAAGTCTTGAAACAAATCTGTATTTTTAAACCCGAAATTGATAGAAATATTCTGTATGTAGCATTGATTCTTAACAAAGGTTCCGCTATTTTTTACACACAAAAAATTGTATAACCCCCTAAAAGGGTAGGGGGTAGGGGGTGACTTATTTTTTTCAAATAGCAACCCCTATTGAGTGACCCCATTGCTTTTGAAGGGATTTTCAAAAGAAACACAATGACGCAAATCCCACGTGAATATCTCACCCCTAGTCAAAATGGCGGGTATTCCAAAATGGGTGATTTTTCACATAAATCAAATTTTGGAATAAGTCAAAGTCAAAGTCAAAGTATTTTTTATTTCCAAATTTTTACAAATTTGATTGAAATATAAAACAATTTCTTAGCAGGTATCTCCCGCCATTTAGGCTAGGGATGAAATATCTACCTCGGGTTTGTGTCATTGTATTTCTTTTAACAAACCCTTCAAAATGAGGGGTCATTGGATAGGGGTTGTTAAAAATAAATCACTCCATCCCCTACGCTGTTAAAGGGGCTTAAAAAATGTTGTTGATTTTAAAAGTTGCTGAGCCTATGTTAACAATCAATTCCACAAACAGAATATTTCTATCTATGTCGGTAAAAAAAATACAGATTTGTTTCAAAACTTAATTTATACACTGTATAAATTGATAAGAATTGTAAGATTGAATTGTAAGATGGTTGTATGCAATTTGCATGCATTGTGATTTCTAAGATTCATATTATATTAAGGCCTACGTTGTATATTTTCTCTTCTACAATAAACAACAAAATATTTACTGAATGATACTGTGTTTTTTCGATGAAAATATTAATTTGAATTACGTTTGAGAAAACTTTTGTAGATTAATTGATTTAATGGTCCAAACCCATTAAATACCTTCAACGTTAAAATGTTCATTTTGTTCATTTCAAGTTACATAGGTAACAGAGAGTGGATTAATTTTCTAAAATAAAATTTTACATATCAGAAAATATTTCAATTTTCTGTTTTCATTTATTTTTAATAATAATGTAGCCAATAATAAGAATGCAGTTTTTATAATACAGTTGTGGCCTTTAAATTACATTGTCATTAGGATTATTTGTAGAAATAGAGAAGAGTTGTTTTAACCTTTGCACTTTCTAAATTAATATAATTATAAAAGTTGAATTAAATATTTTTGCGCAATATTCGTATACAAAACAGACACGACGGGATAATGTAAGTGCCTGAACTCTAGCGTAGGCAAACCACAACACTAATGTACTGCAGAAACCATCTATGATATTGCAGGCGCTATAAAATCGAGGGGCCGTGCTAATTTAAAACATATTTTACTGTAATTACTACTGTTCTTGCACAAGTGCTGGATAAATTATCAATAAAATTTACATTTTATAAATTAAAAGTGCTGGAAGAACTTTAAAACTTCTTTTGGATTAAGGTATTGTTTGTACAGATCATTTTTACATTTTTTCATAAATTGTTTGCGTGCATTGTTTTGTATAGATTTGTTAATAGTTTGTTTTTGTGTACTCTATAAAATCGAGTAATCTATAAAATTGAATATGTAGTTTTATGTATTCATAAAACTACATAAAACTCTATACATATTAGATTCTATGCAGTTTATTTTTATGACACGAGTTATTTTGAAAATCACATAAAAAATGCTAGCTCAGTAAATCTTCTCATTTAAGATTTGTTTACTTGTTTGTTATATGGATTTTTTTCTGCCTCCAACGTCAGATACTTAGAAAGCAATTAAGAGACATTAATATGTTTGAATTGTAAAACATCATAACTGTTACGATCAATTTGGTGAGTGGTGACAGAGAACAATTTAGAAACAATTTTGTACAAATTATTTAACATTTTTTTGTTATCATATGATTCAAACATTGAATTTTTTTGCCAAAAATTCATTAGTCTACTAATTCAGGTGAATTCTAAGAAACAGAGTTAATATAAAATCAGTTTTGTAGTTTTCGTTAGCCAATCGAGAAGTCTCCATATCAATTTTAAATCTGAACACAGATACTGGACTCAAATGCTAACTGCCAGTACTGCCACGTTTCAACACCTCATTCAAAGGCAGGGAAAAGTAACATCAAGTGAATTTTAAGACCGGTAATGTTAAAAATACTTATTAATAGCCTACTAAATAAAATTCCAGCTTAGACCATAACCAAAGTCCTATTTTTCCTGTATTCTTTCATTTTCTTACTTCTTCACTTACAAACAAAAATATTACAACTAACGAGATATGGATTGAATAAAACAAATGAGATCTAAAAAATATTTATAGAGGAACTATTCTGAAATTCTACGTTATGGTCTCTGCTAATGTAGCAGAACGTTTTTACGAGTAGATCTGGCTTTGGCTTCTGTTTTTCCACGTGCTGCCTGAAAAAAAACATGTTTGGTTATTAGTATCAATAAAACAAATATACATTTGACTATATAGATTCACAGGCTAAAACACCTCGATAGACTCAGAGTAAAATCAAACTAAAAGTACACCTTTTTAGAAATGGTTTGCTATCAATATCATAATTTTTCTAAATCATGAAGTGATGTTTATCGAAATGTTAAAACTGCTTGTAACTAACACATCATATATCATTTATTTGATTTATATCATAGACAAAAATAATTAAATATAGACCGTCACCGGTGCTACGATTAGCATAGGTTCTGGTATCCACCGCTGGGAGTGCCGTGTATTTACATAACGCGTATTCCGTAACTACACGGCGTTCCCAGTGGTGGACGCCAGAACCTATGCTAATCGCAGCACGGCTGACGGTCTATATGATGCTATTAGTTTACCTCTAATGTATAACATAAGTCGTAGTTTGCGAATGGTTTAAAAACAAGACTATTTATCTAATCTAGTCTTTGGAGCAAGACTAATTTATTTCAGGATAACGTGACCAAATTTGAGTTTGAATTAAGTTTTTAACTAGAATGTGCATGCATTTACTCTTTATCACACTTTGAAATAAATTTAGTATGCAAATTATTTTCAGTGATTTGTGTATAGGATAGGAGTGCTCGTTTTTTGCATTTAAATCACGAACGTCTTATAAATCAGAAACAAAACAAACAAATCACTATGAAACCGTAGAGGCCTAATTTTCTTCTTCATAAGAATTTTGTTGAATACCACTATAATACTCAACCAACAACAGGACCTCACAAATACTCCATGGTCAATGGTATTGGTATTACATAACTACGTCTAAAATAAAATTGCACCACTTACTTTGTCAATTCTTGGAGTCGCTGTTATAACCGCTTTTCCCATCATACACCTCACTGCTGGAACTAGCGCTTCCATACTCGTCATACCCCTTGTCATAATACCCCTTGTTGTAGTTAGGCTTCACATAAACTGGAACAGGTACAGGGGTTGGAACAGGGTACGGGAGCGGTTGCGCCACTGGAACCTTCACAGGAATCTTCACAGGGTAAGGAACAGGTCTTTCAACCGGGTAAGGAACAGGTTTCTCAACAGGGACAGGGATGTGTTTGTAGACGTGTACCGGGTACGGTCTTTCATAAGGAACTGCTACCGGGACTTTAACAGGGTAGGGAATCTTTTTTTCTATGGTTATTGGTAGAAGGTGTGGAACAGGTACAGGTACTTCTTTGGTGTATATTGATTTAACCGGTTCTCCTTTGTTGTATCCATATCCTCCATAGCCGTGGGCGTATCCATGGTTGTACCCGTGGTTGTACACGGGGATGAGAGCTACTGGGATTAACGCTGCGTGTCCGTGGTTATAGTATCCTTTGTTGGTGCCGAATCCTGGGAAGTATCCTTTATTCGTTCCGTATCCTGCTATGCTCTTCACTCCGTATCCCTTGTCGTAGCCGTAGGTCGGACTGGGGATGAATCCTTTCTCGTAGTGAGGAACTCCTTTGGTAACATGGTAAGTGGCGGAACCGACGCCGTCGTAGCTTTTGCCTTCGTAGTTGTTGCCAACGCTCACCTAAAAAGAGGAAATACAGTTATTTTAATAAGATTATCAGTCATATTAGTTAGTTAGATACGATCAGCGATATTTCACTCACTTTCAGATCAGTTTACAAAAATAATACGCTATTCTCATAAATCTATTACCATGTTACTATATTTCGTGATATTCACTATTAGGAAGACGCGATCGTTATTTCACTCACGCGTTTGAACGGATTAGAAGACGTTACATAAATAATAGGTATTTTTTAGTAACCTATTACCCTATTACTTACGTTACAATGAATACTCACTTGGGTGTAACTCGTAGCTCCTCGTTTGTCAGTTTTTCTTTCTGCGTCCACTGCAGCTGTTTCTCCCTTCTTCTTATCTTCTGCACAAGCTGCTGTCAATAACAGCGTTAGAAGGAGTAGCTGGAGAAAAACACAAGTGAAATAATTAATTGTGAATTAACTCAAACAGAAAGGTGTGGTAATAGGAGTCATAAAAGTCAGCTCATGCAGTGAACCAACATGACATAATACATGAAAGAGTCTAGTCATTGACTAGAAATATAACACGTTTTCTAAAGAAGTTTTTTGTGGGTCTGTGAGGTATGGTATGGTCAGTCACAGTTCCATTGAGGAAGAGGTAGAAGTAAAGGAAGAAGTAGAAACGTGGAGGTAGACTAAAGAGTCGTTGAGAAATACATTCCCTCAAATGCGTGAATATGGCAACTTACCACATTCTCAAAGAACCTAACTACAAAATCTCGTCATATTATTTTTCGGAAAAATTACGTTACGCATTTTGAAACCTCTGTTGCTTTGTTGAATGAGTAATTTTTAATTTGATTTCCGATTGTGTTTAATTTTTCTAAAACCTAATACTACAATGGTATTAGCAGTTTCGGGCAGTTTTTTATATTTGTCCTTTCTTGACATAATAGAATAACATAATAGTTTTTGACTTATGCTTCTACCTTCATGTATTTATATAATTTGACTGTGTCTCATGCATTTATATAATGTCTATAGACGAATAAATATCATTTCATTTCATTTAATATGAGCCTACTGTACCTTCAACGCACAGATAATACTTACATATTCAATACACGTCTAATTTTACTATTTATACTGATCGCTTGTTTCATACTAAGTAGAATAATTAATAACAGATTTTAAAATGTTGTACATTTTTATTATTTGAGGAGTAAACGGCACACAACGTATAAAATAATTCTTTCTACCTTAGTATTTAACATTAAGCTATATTTGCATTTAAACGAGTCACAAAAGGCGTAGGCTGAAAAAATAAATTAACTCAGTTTTTTCTAATCGATTCCACATGATTATATTGCCTGCTTTGGTACGAAATAGACTTGTGGGGTAAAAAACTGTCGCGTTTCCGATATATACACACACATACAACTATACACACATCTCAGGGCTAGAGATATACAGCACACATCTAGCAAAATAAGAGATTTAATGTTCTAAACATTTCCTATAAATGTTTCAAATATCACCGATGTTATATTAAACCTATAGCTATGCCCATCTTTAATTGATCAGACAAAATAATATATAAGTTTACCTTAAATTGTTTTAAGATATATGTATTAATTTATTTTGTCCAGATATTATAGCTCTGGTATTTTTACTTAGGCCTTTGCTCTGTGAAAACGTCAGCTAAAGTTGAATAGTTACAATTGCAACTTAAAGAGGGTCGATAATTTATGTGTTAGATAAAACCTTTTCTCTTTAATTATCAACCAATAACTGGCCAAACAAAATTTACTTAAAATTTCGTTCATTTGATTATTCCATAAATAATTTGTATGCTAAGGACTAAAAGGTTAAAATTTACCATGGTTGTTGTAATAAATTTACCTAAACACTTTTTAACTGTACGTACGCTAAAAATTGTAAATGTAATTTTAATCAATCACTTAAACAAAAAAAAGTTTAAATGCATTTATTTAAGCAATGATTCCAGCGCACAGCTAATCACGTCCAAACGTGTAGGTGTGAAAAACGATTCTCTTTGAAATTTTTTTTATCTAAATAGTTGAATATTTAGCCAACTCAAAAGAGGCCAAGAGGTATTTATTCCCATAAAAATTGCTTATGATATTATATTCAAGTTCTCGCACTGGTGATATAATTATTTAAATTACTTAGCATAAGATATTGTTAAAGGATAAATAATTAATGTTTCCACAACGTAAAATTCTTTATATACCTTTTTTGCAACACCAAAAGCACGAGGTATCATAGTAAAACAAACCCCAACTTTATATCATTTTACTGTAAAAAGTCAATTAGTAGCATAAACGTATGCAAAACAAACATAATATTTCCGAAAACTTTTAAGTATCTACCCTTACTAACACTTGCAAGGCGTTAGACTCATGCATCCTATGTTACCTGATAACGACCGGTGTAACTGGTTGAAATACATGGCAATTAATTGTACAAATCTTTTATTTATACTTACCGCCTTATAAATGCTTACACAGAATAAATATGTAAATATCGACGAATGTTCGAATAAGTTCTCTATTCACATTAATTATTCTTAAAATTTTGAACAACGTAAAAATCGTGAAATATTTTCTCTTTTATTTACAAAAACTACTTGATACTATAGCAAAACAAAATCTTATGACACTCTTAGTTTTATTGTATGCGCGTGAAAATATTATTTTTTACAACATACCAGAGCTGCCTGTCTATAATATTCTAGGCTATTTTATAACATCCTAATAAGATATAAAACTTCCTGGGATATATGATGGATGGATAGAAAATAGACAACTTCTTCATTAGGATTTTTGAACGTCTATAAATTAGAAAACTCGATTTTATAACCATTTTTGTGCGTCGCATTTGTACCCAGGCTAAGCCAGGTTTTGTTGAAAGTTTTGATTAAAATCTGAAAACAAATTTACTTTATTGCCAAGAACACTTCTTGAACACGTACGAAATTTTAAGTACATGAGTAATCTAGTAATAAAAAAGCTCGCCTTCATGATTAAAGGTTGCTAGTCCAATCTCGGTTTTGGTTCTAGGCTCAGATACATTTTATTTATTATTGGACCATAAATAAAAAATGAATTATAATATTTACGTATTGAGGCAAAAATTCGGACATGGTCCTTTCTTACAGTTAATTTCGTATAATATTTTGGCGCAACCGGACGAAAGGTTTGCAGGTAACAAAAAGGGTGCAAACCAACCCCTTGTCAACGCAAAAATGTTAAATTAGTCAAAACACAAAAAAAGCTCAAACTGGAATAAAATAACACTAGACCTCACAAGACCACTTTTTAAAAAACACAGCACTAAAAACACTCCCTTGTATAGCTCCACTCACAGTTGTTGCGCGCTCCATGCTGCAGGGTACACAACTACTAGGCTGACAGCAACAATGGTTTTTATATAGCAATTGTCACTTTCCCGCTGGACCGTAGAAAGCCCGCGGCTTCCGTCAGCTTGGGACAATTATGAGGCTGTAGGACCGTGCTCCATCGGTTTCATGGTTTTTGCACACGTACGATGGGAGCCACCCTGTGGGGATGACTCACTGAATGGAAGATGGAATAGATTTCGTTGTGATAGAATAGTACGTGGAAATATTTACACGTATAGAAACTTAGGTGTGTTAGATGGAGACCTTTCGTAGGTGGATCTTGTTGAGTAAAATGAAGACCTTGAATCGTTTTACTATTTAGATTATTTTTTATCCCATCACATCTTAGTACGTTAGACTCTTGCTCGTTATCGTTTAACATTGGACTACTCTCTAGGACTAGAATATACGTCTGAGTTATTTTTGTCTATGGTCTGAGCCACTTAAATAAAATCCATTTGGACCGAAGTTCCTCACTCTCTCACCAGACTAGTAAGATTCTTGAACTTCGGGAAGGGCTATCCAAAATTGATCTGTAGATACTTATGTTGACCAATACGAAAATACTTTGCCATAGTCATAGGGGTCGAGTTTGCCAAGATAGAAGATAATCATTGGACTGTAGATCTGTAAACACTCGACTTTTGAGTCATTAATCAATTTATCCTCAGTCAACTACGATGGTAATGTCTTCACTAGAATCCCTTTGAATCATTGAACGGTAGCCTCTTTCGGTTCCGTAGTTATTCCTGCAGGGAGTGCGAATGAAAGGTGTGATAGCTACCCTATGGTGATAATGTCTGGTTTTCTCTCTCAAAGAATGAAATGGTGTTCATGGAGATAAGAAACGTAATAAATTAACTAGTTATTGTGATAGAAAATAACAAGATTACTACGAACATAATTGAAATCCTTATACGTAGAATGACACAATGGTCTATGAATGTGCGAGTGACCACGCACCGTCTTCTTCGCTGACGGAAATCGAAAATTAGTATACCACTTTGTATAAACACGATTTCATCAATGGTGTTTCTCTAGTCTTTGAATACGTCTTCGTCCGTTGGTCAATGGTCCACACGCTTTTAAAAATAAACATTTATATCGTATCCCATAAAATCACTATCCATCATTTTCTATACACATAACCCTTGGACTTAGGTGTTCAGAAATATCGCTCTGCCGAAACATATGGTAACTACTACCCTTAAAACTACAGACATGAATTGTAAATCCATCGTCAATATCGAAGTTTCTAGGGTATCATGGATCATTTCAATTGTTTGATTACATTTAGGATGAGAATTTCAACATGAATGCGAAACAAAAAAAGTAACTTCTTAACTTTAATAACCTGAAACTAATTTTTTTTAATTGTTCTTTTTTAAGGCCGAACAACGATGTCTGCATTAACCATATAACTGGATAACTATCAAGAAAGAAAGTCCCGCGCTTGTTCATTGTTCACGCTTCATAATGGAATTGTATCTGCCGACAATTGTCTCTTGTTATTGTTCTCTAATAGCGATCATCTTCCGTTGTGACAAAATCGGTTAGAAAACCGCTTAAGTAACCTAAAGGAACTGTAAGTTTTTGTTTTTGTATCCAGTTGAACACACATTTCCCGTATAATCATATTTAAGTGGTAATTGCATAATTTTTTGTTGCTTCTGTTCTTGGGATGAAATAATACTTTTATGAACGTTGACTTCTTATCGAGGTTCACAACAATATTTAAGTGTCGTATGAAATCAATGATATTTTCAAATTATTCTTGTTGTTGTCATCAAGGACCACTTGTCATCTAGACTCTTATTTAGTTTCACTTTTACTATTGTAGTAACTGAACTTTTAGAAGTGTTTGGTAATGGTTGAACTTCTAGACGAATTTGGTAAATGCTGTAACTTTTTGATGGTTTGATGGAAACTGAACACAACTGTCCTTGATCATTGGGTTTTTAGTAAATGGTTATGACTAATGAAACAGCTGATCTTTAGTCAGTAACAAAGCTACACAGATTATCTTACTCTCACCTTGCACCCAATGTTGTCTCGAAGAGTTTATGGATTGAATTTTGGTTTTAATTTTCATTCCTGCACAGTCTAAACATAACTTCTTCATTCGGAATTTCCCTCTTTCTAAAACCCATTAAAACATTTTCTGCCGCCTTATCCCATTGCAGAACTATAAAACTAGACTAAACCACCAATGTTACCAACTTAATTGCAGAGATCGTGAGCAATAAGGAACACTGAGGGATCAGCCGGGCTTAGTATTATCCGTCTCCCAGCTCCGGAAGACTTTCACTGTTTCTTGTTTTTTGCAGCTATCATCAATGGTTCCTCGATGGTTTGAGTAAACGTCAGTCTTCATGGAGTTTAGCTTGAGATCTGCCAACACCGTTATCGTCACAGCCTAGATATTGACTATGAATTGTGCCTTTTCCATTGCATAACCTGAAGTTGCTCGGATTAGTGAGATATTTTTTACGTTGTCAGAACTTTGTAGTTGTCTATGTTGTCAAACATACGCTTTGTTTCATATTGCAAGATAACAAAAATAATTGAATAATTACTGCTGGAGCATTTGTTTCCTAAATAATTTGTAGACGTTGCTTGAATTCACATAGGAAGGGTCTACAGCTTTTTTTGTATAGGGGGAGCTTTGTTGCAGCATAACCTACATTCTTAAATTGAAAAGAAAACACACCAATCTCAAACTATAGGCCTATAAAATACGTCACGGGAATTCCAACACATCTGAAATTCGCACAAAAACGTCGATTCTGCACTCGATTTCACTTTATTACCATGTTGCAAGGAAAATCGCCCGTAATTTACGAGTGGCCTTGAGATTTTCAATATGTTCGGGAGACAAATAGCGCGCGTAAAATCTAAAATGTGGCGCGAAACATTGACAAAGGTAGCTGCATATTACGGTAGATGTACGTGGAATGGTGGTAGGTCCAAGGAGAAGTTTCCTCATCCGACCTTGATCTGGTGGACAATTGTTCGATACGCTTTTCACTAGAGCATTCGTCCTTTGGAGTTTTTGCCGAGTGTTGTAACGGGACCGATTGCCGGAATTTGCGTAGTCTGTCAGCTGTCGTTATACAACCCAATTAGGCTCGTTTTGTCTCTACCAAAACAAACAAACAGGAGCAACTAGCTGCAGCATATTTGATTATAAAGAGCAGTTGCAGACGTCTAATACAGTACGTTAAAAACAGTCAACTCAATTAAATCTTTTACGATATTATGAATGATTATCTTTTTTTTCGATTTCTGCGTCCTTGAGTAAGTGTAAGTGTGTGACATATGAAAATTTCACCAGCTTGCGTTACCCGACCACCATAAATACATTGTGTAAATATTAATAATGGAGAGTATAGTAGTGAAATACGGGGTGAACAATTTTTACGTGCCACCATTGGTAGCCCTCTCAAAACTACTAACTACTAAATTTAGAGAAAACATCTCCCCCAGGATGCAGCACAAAGCTAGCGAAATGTACATAGGGTGCGAATACAAATGCAGGAAAAAGAGTCGGCAAGACCGCCGCCATCTTGGATTTTCTGTTCATACCTGCAATGTGGTTGAAGCATATTATGATATTACTGCATTGTTTATTAAGATAAACATTTGCAACATATCTCATTTTAGAGCAATTGAGACCTCGAATGTGATTTGCTATGTAATTTTCAATTTTAATTGTTATTATTTTGTCAAACTACATATCGACTCAAACGGTGATTTTTTCCAACCTCTAAAACAAAAGTTTTAAAAATCTAAAAAACAATTCACACGGAAAATATACTTAAGAATCACATAACATTTTCTGCTAGGTAATCAAGCGTGCACGATTAATATCACAACCACCATGGTGTGCATGTTTTTGCTGATTAGCGCTAGGAAAACCACTGTTTCACCTGGCATCTGATGGTCAACAACAATGCACAATTATATTGACTCCTGCTGACTCCAAGTTCTTGAAAATGGGATCACACAACAAATATTCTCCAATTTTTGAGGTGAACGATTGCATTAGATTATATAGGCTGTAGGCAGATAATACATACAACATAATTTACAAAGGTATACAATTGTTCTAACAATAATTTATGCGTTTGAGATAGATCATCAGTAATCGATCTACCTTACAATCTTGATATGTACCAGCCACGTCAGATTTTTGCACTCCTTAAATATGAAAGTGATATGTACATTCCAAAACTATTGGCTATAAGTGGTCCATAAAAATCTGTTCTTATTTATTATTTTCAGTGTAATGAACTTGTCTTTTACTGATTTTAGATTTACTAAGGCATACTCTTGAAATATGTCCAAACTTTCCACAGGTGTTACAGGTTTCATCAATCATTGGACAAACATTCGCTCTATGGTTTACATTCCCACATCGGTAGCATTTTCGGTTTGTCCAAACCATAAAGAAGGGTCTACTAGCAATGAAAGATAAAGGAGGGGATCAGGACATAAAAAGTTACAACGATTCTTAATGCAATTGAGACAAGCAAGAAACTCTACTGGGTCAAACTCTTATTTTCTAATGTTTCAACGAAATGTAAGAACAAGATTAGATTTAATGACAACAAACAACACATCTTCGAACAATGACTTCAAATGTGCAAAGGTAGTGAGGGAATTTAAAAAAGGGGGAGAGTTCAAGCATACGACTTCGACTTCAGACATAGTAAAAACAAGTGGATGTTTGGTTGTGTTAAAAGCAAGGAAGGTAAATTAATTTATGTTCTGAAAATGGATGATGGATCTATATGAAGACGGCATGTCAATCACAAGTTACCCACCAAATTCAAGGGGGAGGATTGATATGTACATTCCAAAACTGGCTAATAAGTGGTTCATAAACATCTGTTCTTATTTATTATTGTTTGTATGATAATTTAGTTACATAATATAATTGTGATTAAATAAAGAAAAATTGAGTTACTACATTTAAATGTTACATTATTAAAATATCTAACAGCAACATTTCTAGGAACCTAGAACCTAACACATTATCTGCAGGCCTATTGAACTTGCAGAGTTTCAGGCTCCCTTGATTTGAGCCTGAGAAATTGTCTGTCCATTAGTCAACTACGACAAACTAAACATTCAGCTCTTAATGACCTCTAGCTTTTTAAGGTTAAAGAATAGATGTTAAGCCATTTCATCCAGTAGCCCGCACATTTTTCTTACGGGGTTACTCGCAAAATAGTCATTCTGCGCACCTGTACACCTGTGATATTACAGCATTTTTTTTTACTGATGATCTGGTCCTGGGTAAGAAGTTCTGCAGCAGTTTGATGCTGCGAGATACTTAAGTGTGAGTCAACTCAGGTCCTATAAGCAAGCCTCTTCTCGCGTTCTTTGTTATGCCCAAGAGGTGATAGTTGGCATCAATGTTTACGTAACTATGTTCCAAAATGGTTAAGGTCCTATGAACATCGCAGATGATCCCTTTGACTAACTAATCCGTTTGTGTTGATCGCCACGTTATTAGTCTACAAACGTTTTAAAATAGCCTCAACTCATAGTATTCAGGGCTTTTGGAGCAGCTTGGCTAAAAAAACACTTACATTACAACTCTTTTTAACTGCCTTCCATTAAACCAAATCTGGGTTAACACTGTTAACAGAAACCGTCATTCAAAATTCAAATCAGCAATTAAAATATTTATTAACACAAGTCTGCAGTTTGCGTTTGCTCGTGTTTGTCCCCTTCCATGTCTCACAGACGTAAAGGAGGACAGACTTAATATTTTGAGTTGAAGATTCTGAGTTTAGTTTTTCTTCTTCTTTCAGAACTTCTCCAAACTGGCCTCAGCTGTGCAAATGCCACTCTTGCTTTGTTCAAGCGATTTTTAATGTCCCAACCGGCACCTCCTCCTTCAGTCACCATACTGCCCAAATAACAAAATTAAGAAATGTACTTATTTTAATGGAAATGCCGTTAGGCAGTGCTCGATTTGAGGGGGAACGCGGCGGAATGGAGTTCCGGTACCTGTCTTTCTAATAGATAAATATACAAATCACATTAAAACACAGTGCAGTTCCGGCACCTCATTTTTTACAAATCGAGCACTGCAGTCAAGTCGTATAAGACAACCAATTGCAGTGTCTTAAGCATTTATTTACAACAAAACCATTTATTTAGTTTTTACCATGATTCAGAATAAATACAGACCATTTTTACATCATCATTTTATTATAATAGTTTCATATATAAATACACAAAAAGCAATAAATATTAATACTCTAACAGTATATAAATAATAGGAAATAAATAAAAAGCGATCTAAAAATAAATACTACATAGTGCTTAAAAAACATGTGCCGTTAAATAACCTAAACATTATAAATATAAGCTCTTAAGTCTTTTGTACTTATACAAAAATAAAGAATGTCTTTGGCACCGGCGAATTATTCATGTTTACATGAAAAGTTAGTAAAATATTTATTGGCTACAATTATGTATCAACCTCCATAGTGACCTTGGTAAATATATCAATTATTCCTCCTATTTATTTGTGTTAACAATAAGTGAAATACTTTATCAATGAGATGTTGAGCAATATATTAAATATATTAAAGTTTATTACTAGTGGAACCAACTGATTTTAAACACACATTAGTATAGAATAGTGTCAAGTGCTGCATTATTTGACGGCTTCGTTGATTGCGTCTGGCTCCTCGGTGGAAGCTTCGGGGGCTGAAGTGGAAGCTTCGGTAGGTTTTGAGGTGGAAGTTGTGGAATTTACCATTCCTCCAAGGACCTAAACAGAATCACCACAAAATTAGAGTTATTTATTCATTGAAAAAAAAATTGTAAATACCCTATCACTTAGGTATAGGCCTACAGTTGTTGGTAAATGTAGTTAATCACTTATGAAACCAGTTGCTAGATGTGAATAAAAATTTCTATGGGAAATCGGCCTTTGGTAATTCGGTAAAATTTAAAATCCAAATCATTTTAGATACTTTTTCTTGGTGTTATATTAGGTGTTACCTGTGTAACACCTAATCAAATCTAGAGAAATCTAATTGAATGGTGTTGCATGATATATGTTGTAGAGTCGAACTATCCCACCTGGTAAGTAAAAGGAAGTTAGGAAACGGATGGAAGGGAAAAAGAGGAAATGAAAAACGGAGGAAAGTAGGAAAATGGAGGAAAGGGGAAAAAGTTACAACAGGGAGGAAATGAGGAATGGGGGAAGTAAAAAAATGGGTAAAAATAATGTTTGGAATGGGCATTTTTTATTGCATTCATATGCTGTATGAGAATTTCACATTACAAGCTGAATTATTACCTATGTCCGACACTCACCATTTTCTGCACCTCACAGTTGCGACCTGTGTATCCATCGGCGCACAGGCACCGGTAGTTGCCATCCTCCTCTGCCAGACTGACACAAGTAGCGCCGTTCTCACACACATCAGTGTTGTTGTCACAGTACGTCAACTCTGTGGACAATATACATGTTGAAGTTCTCTATCAAACAAAGTAAAATAACCAAACTTCCACTTACAACTGTCTATTAGGAATTGAGTTCAGCTACGTTACCAGAGAAAATTAGAGGCCAGGGACTAATCTTAAGTGTCTAAGCCAGTGATTTCAAACCTGTTTTACTTGGGTAACACTTCACAAGAAAAAAATGTTTTGCACACCCCTTGGTAACATGGAGGTAATTGTTAGGAATCAGTGGATCCGGAAATGAGGAGAAATATATTTTCCCCATCTATGGGAGGAAATAAATTTAATTTGGGGTTTTCACAGGATGGAATTTGTTCCAACTGTCCGCAATTTTCAACGATCCCAAAATGTAAGATGTCTCCACTATTGCAGGAGATTATGTGGATGTCCGCAATCTCGGGAGGTGTTTCGATGCTATTGTAGGAAAAGATTTTGTGTTGTCTCCAATAGCCGAAGACCATTTGTCCACACTGATTGTAGATTAGAGAAGCCAATTGGAGAATGTCGCGAGTTAGTTTCTTTGGGAGAGGTAAAAAAAATCAGCGCCAAACTTTTCCAAAAAGGTTATTTATTTTTGCAATTGAGGAATACTTGAGCACCAAGGGCAAAAGTTATATTTTTGCTCGTTTTTTTTAAGGGTTATTAATTCAACCGGCCACTTAGCTTTTGCCAATTTTATGTGTAACTATCAAAATAATCTTCTCCTCTTCCTAAAGTGTTACTGAATAAACACAGTTGTGATGGCTGTTAATGCTCACACACCTTACTAACAATGTCAATGGTAACATAAAACTCCCTTCTTAAAACTTCACCATATACCACTACACTGACCTCTGCGTACCACTACATGTTGGGAAACACTGGTCAACTTAACACTTGTACTCTATAAATTTAGAAAACTCTTTGCGTGTTTGTTACTATGGCGGCCACAGTTGGCAACACTATTACAGTACCTTTGACTTTATTTACAGACCATAAGCAAACAACTCCTATTAGGGCCAACTATTGTGACACATGACATGGCAACTCACCCTGGTCACACAGCATTCCACCCCAGCCTGGCTTGCAGCTGCATTCCCAGGGTCTCTTGCAGTCTCCGTTCTGACATCCAGGGTAGGCGTAGCACTGGTCACAGTTCTTGCCCCACCATCCCACTTTACATCTACACAAACACATTGTTACAATGTTGGCCAATCTTAATAGTCAGTCCTTGGATGCATGTGGCCATCTCAGATTATTTAAAACACCTTTTGAAGGGTTTTTTTATCATCCAATAGTTATTTGTATAACTAGCGGGCGAAGTGGCACTTTGCTGCAAATTAGAGAAATGTTTACGCACAAGCCGTAGGCGAGTGTGGGAAGTTTCTCGGATGCAGCCTGTTTGCACTCGCGTTGCAGATTATAGTTTTCCTTCATTTACTTTAAGGATCAGTCTTTCAAAAACTCTACAGTCATAATATATTTAAGTGTTGCCAACTTATTTTCAAGGGTAGGCCTATATCTAAATATTTTGTGCCTAATAAAAGCAGTGTGCAAGGAATGACACTTTATCAGACGACTGTATGGGAAAAATATTTTTTCAAATACCGAATTGATTGTAATTTATGTATCAAGTGCACTATAATATCAGATAATTTCTTTGTGATTTTATAATTGTTTTCCAAGGGAGTCAACAGAGGCTAACTACCTTGTTGGATTTGCCCGCCCTAAGAGTAGCCTAATGTTAATTTTGTTTATTTTAGGGATAGACAAGTCTTGAAATTTTGGAAATTTTTGGTAATTTTAAATCTTGTTCTACGAGACGATATTTTTTTGATCGAGATTTTTTTGGGACAAGACTTAAAAAACATTCCTGCAGAGAGTCCATGCAATACCCGCAATACAGGAGAGTGTTGTAGTTGCGTTTCCTTTGCGAAGGCGTTCTTATTTTATTAATTCTTTACATGTAAATAATATTACTTTAACTGTTTTATCATGTGAGAAGTTTTGTTGATTTTAAGCAGTGTAAGGCATGTTTTACTACTGTAAACATAGCCAAAACAAGTAAGTATTTTATACAAATTAATATTGATTTTATTTTAGGATAAGTTTAACTCTATCTGATATCACCATGTTTCCTAAGCGTAAGCGTTATTTTTAATAAGTAAGGCGTAATAAATATACATTTTTTGTACTGATGTTTTTTAATAAAAGATTTCAAATATTCTTGCCAATTTTAATTATTTTTGTATTTAAACAGTATCTAACAATGTTACAAAATGTCAAACATGCATTTCCCTTATGTATGAGAAGGGAAATCCCGTCTCGATCACGTCTCAAAATTTTATGAGAAATAAAAAATCTCATCTTGTCTTGTCTTGAACTAAATATCCAATCTCGTCCATCCCTAGTTGATTTCAAACAGCCACTGAAGAGTTATTTACCATCTCAAAATATTTTTCAAATACCAAAGTGATTGTAATTCAAATATCCAGTGCACTGTGACATTAAAAATGTTTTCCCTACTTTTGTAATTGTTTTATGAGTTATAACCTATAGGCTCAAAGGACTCTTAAGGTTCATCCAGGCTCATCAGTTCCGTCACAGTTCAGTTACAGTTGCATCCAAAATTCTGACATTCAACTGTCTATCAGTTGATTTCAGTCATTCCAAAGATTTGAACAAATTGTGCTTCAGGGACATCAAAATGAAAAAGTAAATCGGTCAGGGCTTAGCTCTTACCAGAGCACCTATAAAAGCATCTTCCCACTAGAGAAATTCACTAAAAAACACATTTTTTCTATTTGCTACTACACACAGTAATATTATGACCACACAGAAAACTATTTAGTAAACCTAACAGTTCAGTATTGATCACTCATCAACTAATTGTATCTAAAGTACAACTGATCTGTGTATAATGCATTGTCTATGGAGATCAATTAATGAAATCAATTTATGAAAGGCAACAGGCAAGTTAAACCGTACATGTTATGATTAAGAGTGTGAGCATTTACCTGCATTCGCCAGGTTTACGGCAGTAGCCATGTTCTCGGTGGCATCCTTCTGCGCAAATCGCTGAAAGATAACAAAGAATGATGTAAACCTACATAAGAGAACTGTGAGTTTTAAGAAACCTTGACAAAACATTGTATGTTATTTTACTAAAATAATTGTAAGGCAAAACTTAAATAAAACATTTCTGTCACTTATCTGGACATTTCTGTGCTTCTAAGCCAACAGTGTTCACAACTCATCAATTTGTGAAAGGATTCTGAAATGTAATCTGGTATATTTTTTTTGACAACATGGTATGTTATCATTGATCCAAACGGTTTTAAAACAACTAAAGCTTTTACTCTATTTTAGTTCTACAAACATTTTGTTTCTAGTATATTTAGCTTGAAGGAAGAACATGTGTTGCGGAATTGGATAATTATTCTTCGTGTTTGATTAATTACTAAGTCAAACAATTTAACTGTAAGTAACTTTTAATAAATGTTGTCGTTACCTACCGGTATGTAGCACGTGTTATTAAACGTTTGCACAAACATCTACGACAAATAAAAGACAACAATATGCATATACATCTCGTCAAAGCCAAATTCTATTGGATCTAAGAAATGGGAATTGTGAAGCTGAACTATCCTAAGAAATGATAATACAGTAGAGTCCCGCAAACTCGGCGTAATGTGGACTGGAAGGGTGCCGAGTTTGTGAAATGCCAGGTTATCAGGAACTAGGGTTAAAAATAAGGACAATACAATTTTTAAGCGTTTTAACCTCCTTCTTTTATATTACAAGTCAGTATTAAGTCATCAGATATAGTACAAAAATCCTTGGTACGAGTTGTGAATGATTTTACTTGAGCTGGCTTGAGTCCATGTTTAACTCGGACTCGAAATATCACTAATTTTCTGAGCCAGGTGATGGCCGAGTTATCCAGACTGCCGGGTTATCGAGTGCCGAGTTTGCGGGACTCTACTGTAATGGCCAAGGGAAATTGTATGCCTAATTGTCTGAGATTCACCACAAAGTCATATCACTAATTTGGGACCCATCTCCACTTGAATTTTCAAAAATCCTGTCTACCCACAATGGTGCAAAATAGGTTTCAATAGCCTACTTTTTATAAAGGGGGTGCATGATAACTATTTTTGGAATCAAGATTAAGGCCCAGCGTGTGACTGTTTTACAATTTTTGTTGCAAACCAGTTGCGCGTGCAACTGTTTTGTGACCTCGGCAATGTATTGCAGTGGATTATAATAGTATAATAAGTATAATAAGTTTGGTTAGTGGAAGTGATCAAAAGGTATTGTCCGCCTGTGTGTTGTGTTTTTTCCGACCAGCTTGTAGGCTTAGGACTGATAAGTATAGTTGTGTTTGGTTTTAGATTCATTATGTTTTTGGATATTGTTTTTTTCAGGTTATGTATAAATAAAATTTAGGCTAATCAATGTGGAGGAAAAAACCTTAGGTAGCCTAGGTAAGGCTAGATAGGGTAGTTAGGTAAATGTAGATTAATTTGTCACTTGGAAACGGTAGGAGTTTCCTTACTTCCCGAAACGTGGTGTAGTCAAACACATAGTGTAGGAAAAGCCCATGAACTAAAATTAAAATAGTTATCCTTCACAATTAAAATCTACATTTTCTTACCTGACTGACAAAGTATTCCCGTCCATCCGGGTTTGCAGCGGCACTCCAGAGGCTTAGTACAATATCCGTGTTGACATCCGGGCAAAACCTGGCAGTCCTTACATGTCTCTCCGGACCAACCTAGGCGGCACCTGCCACATCACAACACAACACGTATACTTTGCACACTGAGTAGATGGTGCTAGGCCTAAAAATAATTTAGATTTCTTAAATGGCCAAAACAATTTGTTTTAGATTAGATTGAATTTCTGCAATGCCAACACGTTAGGGTGTGCATTTTAAAGACAAGATGAGTAAAGAATGAGTGTAGACTGTGGAGTGAATGAGATACAATACCTAGTAGCTTAGTTTGAAGCTGCATAATATCAGCTGTTTCTTCAAGGGACAATTATGGCTCAATAGTTAAAGGCAGCTGGGTCCTGTCTCAAATCATCAAATAGTGTCCGTCTTTTCTCATGAACTGGGAACCTCCTGACTACTGGAGGTGAGCACTATAACCACTTAGTTACTCCACTCGGCTATTTGGTAACCATTTAATGCTTGAGCTGCCATATCGGGGAGACTGCAAGTGTTTAATCCAACTACCAAGAAGAAATAGTTCCATGTTCCACTCGAGATCATGATAGCTTAAAGACTTGTGAACACTATCACTTTCCGATTTGGCTTTACAAAGACAAGTTTTAAAAAATATTAATTTAAGATTTTATTAAGGTTAAATGACCACAAGCATTTTTTGTTTTAGGTTTCCATTCCGGAAAGTGGTAAATCCTGTTCTTCAGTTGACGATTGCGTAGATGTAGCTGATGATGATGTAGATGACGTTTCAGACGAAATGCAGCAGTTCATTTTCACAGAGGTGTTAGTGTTTGGAGGAATGTTTAGCACCTTAAAATGAACTGGTTCAATGTGTTCTAAACGACAGCATCTGCATTATCATTGCTACATCTAGGCGGTTATCAACCTAAGTCCAGATTTATTACGATCAGAAGTATGTCATACTGAAAGATTTTTAGGACTTGAATCGGGCATATACCCTTTGGCAGCTAGCTAGAGAAGATAACGATACGATGTGTACCAAACCATACCTTCATCATTCCAGAATAACTTAACACAATAATTTATTATAATGGAGACGTTTTATTGAGTTAGGGTTTCCTACATACATACAGTGTTTGTTTTTACTACAACCAATTGAATCAAAATAATTGGTTAGTCAGTAAATTAGTGAAATGGCATCGCAGAAACATCAGTTTCAATTAAAGTAGTAGCAAACAAATTACACAAATAACATCTAGGTAACATTTCAACTTTTAACACAAAATTTGTTGAATTCTTATAACTATTTTCTAGTTTACATATTTACCGACATTCGTTGGGATATTCGCAGTAACCCCTGGTAGCATGGCAGTCCAGACGGCAGATTGCTGAAAATGTTTTATTTTTATTATTTAATGCCTACTAATATTTAGCACACAAGATTTTTCAATGTCAATAGTTAGTCATTTGAAAATGCAAGGAGTTTCCTTAACTCTCGAAACATGGTGTACCGTAGTTAATATACATAGCGTAGGAAAGGTACATAAACTACAATTAAAATACCAAAAAATACACTCTAAAGATGAGGAATATTAACATTAAAACTAAGAAACTTAAGAAAATACAGGGCAACTATAAAGTACAGTTTCAGACTCTTACAATTAATTTCCTCAATCAACTTAATAGGCTATCAATCTGCAGTGTTTTAGCATAGCAATATACAAACAAGATACAACCTAATAATAATAACCTCTCGTCAATCGCTACATTGTACCCTACTTTTTAGTTTTTAATGTCCTGTGATGTTATCAAACTACCTGCTCTTAGCTCAAACAGAGCGACAAATTGATATTACTCTTACTGAGAAATAATAAACCACAAATGACAATCAGTGAACATATTCAAAGAAAAATAAAAGCTGTACTAACGCTCCGAGCAGAAGAGCCCGTCCCAGCCTTCCTCACAGATGCATTCAAAGCTGTTATTGCAGTAGCCATGTTGACAACCTGGCAAGGCAATGCACTTGTTGCAGAGTTCACCATAAAACCCTGAAATAAAAAACATCATTATTAAGTAACTTAGTCTAAAACACTTTTAAATTTTCATAACCTATAGTTTTTAAGAAATTTGTTAAATTGGGCTTGCTGCTTAGGTTTCTGTTGATTTTTCACAATAAATCCTTAACCTTTTTATGTACTTTTGTATTACATGGAGGCCACCTTTTTATATCACATTGCAATGGTTATGTTAGGTTGGGTTATCATAAATTTGTTTATGGCTCATATGCTATCATTCAATTCATAATGAAACGAGGAAAGTCCTACAAACATATTTATCATTTCAATTCACAAAAACACATTTTTCATTTCATTTCATTACTATTTTGATTTAGAAATCGGACGTCTCAAATCAAACCTTCAATTACAATTATACGCAAGCAGAACTGTTAATGACTCAGACTAAATGTTTTGCATAAAAATAAAATGCTGTACAAAGAGCGACAAGCCTAGTAGGCCTACTGATATGCTAGCGCTCTTGGTCCACTGACAGAGTGTGGTTTACTGTTAGATTTGATCCATTCAACATAATTTGTGTAACCAGGCCTTATCTTCTTTGATAGAAAGCTAACATTATTTGGGGTTTACAAAAGTTTAATACATAGAAGATTGAATCAAATATTGACTAAAATTTACAAGTGTACAAGGTTATATCTCCAACTATCTGAACCCTATATTTGTATCTCCAATCTGATAACTTCAATTAGGAAAATATTGGCAAGAAAAATTAAGTTCAAAAATTTATAGTTCATACTTATTTGTACTTTTTTGCAGTTTGTGGTACCTAATGGTTATCAGTTACAGAGGGTATACAGTACATAGGCCTACAGTATTTCAATGTGTGCTGATAGGGTCCATAATGCGGTGAGTTTATTTGAGTGTCGATCAATCTTTGGGTGATGATTAATCTATCTAGTGACGCTATCTTGTAAGGTAGGCCTACTATTTCTGTATAGGCCTATCTTTGTATTCAATTTTGTTATCATTCAGATGGAGTTTTGTCCCAATTGACCCATTTGGCCTAGAGTCTAATCGAAGTCTGTAACTGTAACATCTGCTTCTAACTTTCTGAGTGTTTTTTAACATTCTTTAAACGCTAAAACTTTATTTGTTTTGCAATTATATCACATAACTAAGACCAGGCTCTAGCCTAAATGAACCTTACTGGCAGTTGACCAACAGGTGAGATTCATTTAGACAATGCCGACATACTAGGGTGTGTGTGTGTGTGTGTGTGTGTTTTAAAGTAAAATGAATGTTGAATGAATGAGGTCTTTGGCCAGGACCATTTACTAAAAGTTCAATAAGTTAGTCAATAACTTAGCAGAGTCCGAAGTCTATTAACAATTAAAATTAAATCAAAATAGACTACCTAGTTTGCAGCGACACTCCCCAGGACGTTTGCAGTAACCCTGCAGTGGGTCGCAGCCTTTACGGCAGATGGGGACATCACACAGATCACCTGTCCAGCCAGGAAGACACTTTACATCTCCGTTGTCATCACAGATGTAGTGACTGTGCTCGTTCTGGCTAGCAGGCACCTCACATGCCTACGAGACAATTTAGGTTTTAAACATTCGACAGTTCTGTTTGCAATTACCCTGAGTTTGTGTACTTCTTTCCTTTGTTGTCTTATTTATTTATTTATTTCAAAGGACATCTCCATTTTACAACCTTTCAAATCAAATCAGTACAACTCAGGATGGCTTAAATACCGTAACATTTAACAAACACAACAGAAAACAGTTTGAAAGGATGAGATTTTGGTTTGTTACATAAGAATGGAGATGAATGTTGGAATAAAGAAAATACAATAAAACTATCATAAAGATTACGGTATTTTGTTTATAAGTGAATTACATTACATTTAGAAACAAAGATATTATTATTTGACTATTGATGTGGGCTGCACTTTACTTTAGGTCCTACACTCATTCGAATGAAAATATTGATTATTCGATTGTTTCATTCGATATATCGTTTGGTTAGTTAGGTTAGTTTAACCTTACCTAACTAACCAAACGATATATCGATTGATATTTTAATTGGAATGAGTGTGGGACCTAAAGTAAAGTGCAGCCTTGATGTGTTAGGGTTCAACATTGGACTGTTGAAATATATGACTTACATAGGTATAGCTTAATATGTATATTACATAATATGTAGGCCTTACTAGGGCAAAAGATTTCATTGAATAGGAAGATGAACACTTATTGTTTTAGATAAATGTAAGCTATAAAGAACTCTAAAACTAAGAAAAAACAACAGGAAAGGTCTATCAACCTGTTAACCGGCAAACTGACTTACCGTGTATTTAACATAAGTTTCGGATGGCTCTGATGTTATTGACGGGCTTTTTATTTCGGTTATTTCAAAACAACATTCAATACACTGTTTCTTCACTTTGCTGTTCCCCATAAACAGATATTTATGTTATAGTTTATTAGAGAAAATGACAAGACTAGAGTTTAGGTTAGGAAACAAAAGCAACAAGCAACAGGATGAGATCGATTCCCAGCTGTTGCAAATATTGCAGTCGACTACTTCATAGGGATTAGGGAAAATACAGCTGTTTTAGGACTTAGGAGCCAGTGAAATGGCAACAGATCTATCTAAGCAGTATCATAGTCATAATTGATTATAAACATACATTTACACGAGGACAAAAGTGTAAACTACATCATTTGCACAATCTACAACACAACTACATCGTATTTATTGTTTTATCGACGTCTGAGACTCTTAACTACTAGGTTTTTCTAAAGTACTAAAAAATGAACTTAAAATATTTTAAAATACTAGTTGTTATCCAAATAATCCGAACGTTATGCACTAGATGAAACAAATAATCTTGTCTTTGTCTTGGTAAGGTAATATTATAAAGTAACAATTCGGCCATGAATATAAAAGAGAGATATTTTGAAATATTAATAATGTAAAGACAACCGGGAGCCTACCAGTAGACCGACAAGATACTTTGTCGTCTGGCCACTAGACCGTCTTTTTTAATTAAATAGATAAATGCTGAAAACCAGTACGTCGACAAGTTATTTCATCGTCAGTCCAGTTGACCGGCCTGTAAAACTAAATTATTATATTCGAGAAACCAACTTGTCGTCAATCCTCCCGACCGACTTACCACTTGCTCGTCTTTTAGGTGGGGATAGGGGGCAGAGTGGGAGGAGCTAACCGGGGATTACCCAGGAGTTTGAGGCGCTTCTCATGGTTGAACCACCTCACTCGAGGCTAGAAGCCAGTATTGCCAACTGAAAGTACTATAGCTCCGTCGAACACTACACACGCGGCGTGTTTACACAGTCCGGCGTTAAGTTGACGTTGGCGCGCAATTCTCGTTGCGTCGTTTCTATAGCAACCGTGCCGTGACATTGTCCTTGGTCTCGCGCATTCCTCTGCCTTTGTATTATTTAATCTGCATCGAAAGATAAGACTCGCTTATATGCATTGACTATTAAGTCAATTAAAAATTTCATTCGGGGTTTTTGATCGTTTGTTTGGATAAAACTACGTACCGTATATTGTAGAATTAAATTTGTAGTGTGGTTATATGGTATTATGGTATATATATATATATATATCCTACTAATCCTACTAATATTATAAATGAGAAAGTTTGGATGTATGGATGTATGTTTGTGACAAGTAAACGCAGAAAATACTGGCCGGATTGGGCTGAAATTTGGTGTGATGATAGCTCACATTCCCGATTAACATATAGACGCATTCTTATCTCAAAAGTCCGTTCGGGCTCCGCCCCAGTGGCTCTGGAATTTCCCATGTTAACCTTATGAGTAATATTTAAAACGAATAAAAGAATTTCGTCAGCTGTTTCAAATACACAAGTTGGTTCTGTGATATTAAATTCGCATTAACAAGTTATAAAGTTTACTGACAGGGTACAGTACTATTAATTTAAATGAATATATAGAATAATCCATAGCCTATATCGATATTTTTCATTGTTATGAGTGTAGGACAGATACTAAAGTGCAGCCAAATTTTGTTTCTAAAAGTGGTAGCCTATATGTGTAACTATTTTATACAACAAATGTAAAGATCAAAATGTTTGTATTTTGTGTCTTCTTCCCGTTGCAAAGCACGGGTACAACAGCTAGTATATACATATATATACATATATATATATGTACCAGGTTTTGCGTTGGATTTTTCGTCAGTTTCGTCATTGAGCTCTCTCGTAGTAAGTTGTATCACTTGCGTCTTGTTCATGTTCTGTGGCATATTTTGTATCACTTGCTTCCTGAGACGTATCAGAGTGGTGGAAACTGGTCCACGACGTAGAGGAAGTGGAGGGAAGTTGCAAAGGCAAAAGGTCTGGAGTGTGGGAAATGCCAAGCGACTATAGAATAATACAAAACCATGCTTAAAAATGCTTAGGGAGTGATGGAAACAGGCCCACGACGTAGAGGAAGTGGAGGGAAGTTGCAAGGACAAAAGGTCTGGAGTGTGGGAAATATAAAGTGACTATGGAAATATACAACACCATGCTTAAAAAGGCTTGAGGAATGATGGAAACAGGTCTGCGACGTAGAGGAAATGGAGGCAAGTTGCAAGGGCAAAAGGTCTGGAGTGTGGTAAATATCAAGTGACAATGGAATAATACAAAACCATGCTTAAAAAGGCTTAGGGAGTGATGGAAACAGGCCCACGACGTAGAGGAAGTGGAGGGAAGTTGCAAGGGCAAAAGGTCTGGAGTGTGGGGAATATAAAGTGACTATGGAAATATACAACACCATGCTTAAAAAGGCTTGAGGAATGATGGAAACAGGTCCACGACGTAGAGGAAGTGGAGGCAAGTTGCAAGGGCAAAAGGTCTGGAGTGTGGGAAATATCAAGTGACTATGGAAATATACAACACCATGCTTAAAAAGGCTTGAGGAATGATGGAAACAGGTCCACGACGTAGAGGAAGTGGAGGGAAGTTGCAAGGAGAAAAGGTCTGGAGTGTGGGACATGTCAAGTGACGATGGAATTATACAACGCCATGCTTAAAAAGGCTTAGGGAATGATGGAAACAGGTCCGCGAAGTAGAGGAAATGGAGGCAAGTTGCAAGGGCAAAAGGTCTGGAGTGTGGGAAATATCAAGTGACAATGGAATAATAAAAAACCATGCTTAAAAAGGCTTAGGGAGTGATGGAAACAGGCCCACGACGTAGAGGAAGTGGAGGGAAGTTGCAAGGACAAAAGGTCTGGAGTGTGGGACATGTCAAGTGACGATGGAATTATACAAGGCCATGCTTAAAAAGGCTTAGAGAATGATGGAAACAGGTCCGCGACGTAGAGGAAATGGAGGCAAGTTGCAAGGGCAAAAGGTCTGGAGTGTGGGAAATGTCAAGTAACTATAGAATAATACAAAGCCATGCTTAAAAAGTCTTAGGGAATGATGGAAACAGGTCCACGACGTAGAGGAAGTGGAGGCAAGTTGGTGGGTGGGAAATGTCAAGTGAATATGGAATTATGCAAAGCCATGCTTCAAAAGTCTTAGGGAATGATTAATAATTAAATTAATTTAATTAATAATTAAATTGAATCTAAATTATTGCATACAATTATTATCTGGACAGAGGTGGCAGTGCCATCGTGCGCGCAGAATGCTTCTATTGGGAATTTTTCCTTCCTACTTGGACGTCCTGCAACCTTATTTACGATGTGCCGCAATTTTCTGGAGTCTCCGTCTGCATCTTCGATTTTATTTTTTTTTTAAACTGTACTTGGCTTGTTTAATGACTTGAGAATATTCCTATATCCTGTCCGTGCTGTATGAAACTGACCTGTGCTGTATGAACTTGGTCAAACTACAGCACAGACAGTAGAAGGACAAGGATATAGGTTACATGAGCCTGATAATAGATAAGGAACTCTTACACTATAGCTGTCTCCCGGCATGTCTCTGAATTTTACTTTATAAGGAATAAGGATGTAGGTTTGAAATACCTTTAAACATTAAATCAAGAGGACAAATTGTATCAACTGTTGAGAATTTAATTGAAAATACTGTAAGACTGAAAATATGATTTTCTGGGTGAAGAAAGTTGTCTAAATTTGAGATTTCAAAGTCCCATAAATTTCGAACGCCTCAACCCATCAGTATGGGAATAAGTATACAATGTATATGATTTAAATCTCTACAATATCTGACCAAAAAAACAGTATGTCATCATGACTCATATCATGGTTGTATGTTGTATGTATAGTGTCCTATGGTCTGGCAGAGGCCTGACGTCACATGGAACTGTCACTGTAGGTGGTCTTTAGCTCTTTCCTGCTTTAAAACTCTCAATTCTTGGGTAAACTATAGGTTTTTTTTCTTATTACCTTGCTCCAACTAGTACTCTTTTGATGGTATGAGGTTTTAAAAAGTTTATAGTTATTAATTAGAATATTATTCACGCCTGAATATTTATTATTTTCTGTTCAGTTGTGGCTCAGTAGTTGCGATGCTAACACCATGGCAAAAGAAGGTTTTAGCCATGTACCTAGTATGGAGGCGAAGAAAAAGAAATAATAATAGCTGATTTGGGTTCACACAATACTTAATAATCGGCACGAGTTTGGGGCATCCAGGGTGTTATTACTCCCATAGCCCTACGCCGGAAACTAGCTATTACAGCATGGCAGTTCATGAGATATTATTTAATTGTAATAAAAAAAAATATTACTCTTTCAGTTCTGGGTAAAATGCAGAGCAATGCTAATAGTCCAGGAGCTGAGGGGGGTTGAGCATGCATGAAAGTAGTACGCAATGTTATTGCTGATTATTGTAATATGGACTGTGGTGATCAAAATTACGTATGTCGCCTATTTCAAAAGTGGTCGATAAGGTGGGGGGGGGGAGGGGGCAAACATGGCGGTTTGCGCTATGCGTTAAAACGCTGATAGTTCGAAAACGGTAAAAGATAGAACATCTGTTAAAACGTCGTTGTAATCCTAAAAATATGGACAACAATAATGGTCATTGGGTCCGAGGTCGTATCTCTATAAATAAACAAGTTATTGTATAAAATATGTAAAAATGGACTTTTCGTGTAGATTTTTTACCGAAAGTAGAATTAATTTGTGAATGTCGCAAAGAAGTAATATCAAATATCTTTGCTGATACTTGTAATATGGACTGTGGTGATACAAAATACGCATGTCGCCTACTTTTCAGGTGGTCGAGAACTTGGGGGGAGGGGGGCAAAGATGGCGGAACGCGCTATACATCGAAATGACTGTAGCTCGAGAAAGGTACGAGATAGGACATCGGTTAAAACGTAGTTTTAATCCAAAAAATATTACCAATAGAAAAGGTCATTGGGTAAAAAGTCGTATCTTAACTAATAAAAAAGTTATAACAATAATAAGTTTAACAAAATCTACATCGTACAGCTATTTTTTCGAAAATCGTATGGATTGTTGATAAATAATAGTGTAATTACTTAATTACTCGGCTATGTATTAACTAGATGCATTTTCT